CTCAGAACCTGGGGTTTCGGTAAACTGATGGTGAGGTTCAGCCAGTCGAAGCAAGGCCTCTCACCATGGAACTCTCTAGAATGCCCTCGGATGGCTTTTTCGGTCAGCTGGTTCTCCTTGTCAGCCGGCCGACAAGCCCCGAATAGCTGCTATCTGCAGCCTGATAGTCCAGAACCCGGGACTCTTAATGAGCCGAACCTGATAAACAACTTACTGTGCAGCCGAACCCAAATCCACGTCAATAAACATGACATTTATAATTGAAAGGCATCTTCAACTAATCAAAACATAACTCCATCACCCATTCATCATGAAATAATTACATAGTCTCATTTTATACAACTGAAAAGAATTAAATACAAGGATGAGGCCTCCCTGGCCAAAATTATATAGCTTACAAAAAAAAAAAATGAATTAAAATCCAAACTACATCAATATCCATGGATACACATCATTTACCAATTTGTCTTCGGATTCCTAAAAAATGTTAATGATAATAGGGTGAGCTCAACAGCTCAGTAGAAAAAAGCCTAAAGTACATTCCTAAAATCCTGTGAGCCACAATCAAAGAAGAGGAGATTACGAAGAGGGATCATAGGAATACCAGCCACAACATCATACATGAATTTTCACAATTTCGCAAACCATTTCATCACCAACCATGTAGATCAAGAATAAATCATGCTTCACAACTCAATATTGGACAAGCTAAACATGATCACATCAACAAGATTTACATGCAAAGAACATATAGAAAACTCACTAAAACCTTAGGAATTCGTAGTTTAGACTTCCCCTACCTCAAGATAACAACCAAAACAAGGCCTCGGCAAGCCCTTAAGCCTCCAAAATTTTGAAATCCCTAAGCCCTTGCAATATTGGTCTCAAATAAAAGCTCTCCTCATGCTCATCAACTTCTTCACCAATAGCCTTATCAAAATCTCACTTTGATCCCTCCAAAAACAAACTTGAAGTGTGGAAGACATTTAGTGTAAATAGATAGACATAGAGTGAGAAAGTGAAATGCTAGAGAGAGGAAGCATTCTGCCGAACTGAAGAGGAAATGAAAGAAAATGGGTTGGTCAACACTTTGCCTTGTGGTTAATAGCATGCCACTTGTCAAAATGTGTGTGATGTCACTTTTTGGTCAATTACACTTTTGTCCATCGACATCCATTGCAATACCAAAAAAATCCCTAAAATATCTCCCACCAAAATAGATACACACACACACACACACACACACACACATATATACATATAAAATGACTACAATGCCCCTCACTTAAAATGAGAAAACCAGGAGAAGTTCCTGAGTCTGGAAATCGTCCCGACTTCTGAAAAATTCTAAAAATGAAACCGTCATTTCTAATTGACTTAAAATCATTAAAACACACTTCTAAAACCTTCAGCTCAAGAAAATAACCAAAACGCCCTTCGAGGCCCGCGTGGCACGCAAAACGAAGAAATGATTAAAATAATCCAGAAAAATAAAAAAAATTCCAGAAAATAGAAAATATGAAAAATCGGTAACATTACACAACTACCCCAAAAAATATAGCACACAAGCATTAAACATATTCTCGAACACCTGAATGACCCTCTTGGACTGGCCATCGGTTTGAGGATAAAAAGTAGTACTCAAACTTAAAGAAGTACCAAAAGCTATATGAAAACTACTCCAAAACTGAGATGCAAAATGTGGATCACGATCGGTACTCCATAGAACTTGACTATATCTTTGATGTAAAGCTTACACAACACCTTTATGGAATCAGTAGCTCGAAGGGTAGAAAATGTGCAGATTTAGTTAACCGGTCCACTATCACCCACACAGTATCATGGTCATGTATCGACCTCGGTAACCTCATGAAAAAATCCATCACATGCTCCCATTTCCACTTAGGTATGGGCAAAAGTTGTAGTAGTCCCGCTGGTTTCTAATTCTCAGCCTTCATTCGCTGACAAGTGAGACATCTAGACACAAACTGTGCCACATCACGCTTTATTCCTTCCCACCAGAACTGCCTCTTAAGATCATGATACATCTTAGTGCCACGTGGATGCTTATATATGGTGATGTTATCTCCAATTGGTATGAGACCTTTTGGGGTAAAGCCTAAGAGTAAAACCGTGCCGACTCAAGTCCAAAGCAGACATTATCATACCATGTGGTGGAGTGGGTCGTTACAGGTGATATCAGAGCCTGACTCAGCCTAAAGTGTGCCGACCGGGATGTCGAGCCTCCAAGGGGGTGGATTGTGATGACCTTGTGGGCGGGTGCAAGACACTGGCGAACTACTACATTGGGCGAGCTACGGTTGCACAATCCCACATCGCCTAGGTAAGGAAAAGGTGATGTGCTTATATGTGTTGGTGTTATCTCCAATTGGTATGAGGCCTTTTGGGATAAAGCTCAAGAGTAAAACCGTGCGCACTCAGGCCTAAAGCGGACAATATCATACCATGTGGTGGAGTGAGTCGTTACATAGGTTGCTTATACTTTCCTAGAACAAATATCTGTATTTTGTTAGCTCCACGAACTAAAGAAATTATTTTAGTCCACATAACAAAGTCAAGGTCTTTCCTAGAATTGTCCCACTAGTTACTCCATTTTCTATGGTTGTTTCAATTATTAGATTGGAATATGGAACTCCTAATATTATTTTTATTTTAAATAGTGATTTAAGGATCCAAATCACCAATTACCGAATTTAATTTATGTAAGAAAGATGGTGAGTCTCATCACATAACATTATAATGACATGATAGGGTAGACCCCACCACCCCATTTACATAAATTTAATTCGATATTTAACGAATTCGATTATTAAATTATTATTCTTTCATTTTTCATTCCAATTAACTAATTGGCTCAAAAGAGCAAATTGTGTTTCAACAAATTTGTAGTTAATCTAGCAGTCAAACTGGAGTTTTTTTTTTTTTTTTTTTTGTAAGTGTGTGGGGGTACATTCGAGCTATACTTGAGTAATGTATACTTGAGATAGAGTTTAAAATTTCAATTCATACCCACCCGAGTAAAAATAAGAGCTATCAACATTCATTAAATTGTTCAGTTAGGTTGAAGAGCTTTAATTAGCTACCCAATGACCTGATAATATTATTTTGACGTTCAGCTTCTCTGCTGTGGTGCATTCAACACGTTTAAACCTTGATCCAACGCATAACTTCTAGTTTGAAGTAATGTTATGAAAACAACTTAATTGAGTTAAAAAGTGATATTAACACCATTATTTCTAGTTTTAAATGCTTCAATTAGAAATAATAGTGTTGAAAAAAAATAACACAATTAAATCGTATTCCCACGCATTACTTTTTAGCTTGAGTTTAGCAATGCACCACAACAAAGGATCCTTTATAACAAGGATCCAAAGTCCAAACACATTATTTTGATGAAAGAAAAGTACCTGTAAGAATAACTGACAAGTCTTCATTTCAAATAGAAAATAAGATTAATGTATTTTGTCAGCACCACAAAATTAAAGAAAATATCTGAACGAGATGACAAAGTCAAAGTCATTGTCTGACTTGTCCCACTAGTTGGTTATTCCATTTTGTACAGCTACCGTTCAATGGATATTTTGTTAACCCTATTTCAAATTTGAATTCTTATATATGTATTTTAAATCATGATCTTTTTGTTTCAACTTTTTTTATTTTTATTTTTATTTATGAAATCTTAGTTTATTGTATATTTATATTATTATTTTCTTCTGGAAATCTTTAGGTATTTTTACAATTTTTTTTAATTATATATATATATATATATACTCAACGAGATCACTGGAAGACTAGAATTAGATGAGAAATGAAGCAGAAACCAATGACATAAAGACCGACCAACTGGGATGGACCAAGAATATAGGTGAGGGGGCAAGTATGATTTTTTAAAAATAATTTTAGGGGATCAATAGTAATATTTTATGGGTATATAATGGGAAAAAGAAAATATATATAAAATAAAATAAAAAATTTGGGGGCTGGGGGAATTGCTCCCTGGCATCAATATAGGTCACGGACGACCAATGTACCAACATGATCCAATAGGGATTGAAATATGGAACATAATTATAAAAGTAAATGTACACCTACCCGAGGACCCAAATTTACACAATATTATTGTCTTTTTTGCAGTACTTTAAGCTAATGAATTGGATCACATTTTCATTGCCTCCATCAACCAATGGATAATAATTGAGCTTATACAAAGCACAGAGGCTTTATTCAGTTATTGCATATTGGATTGGAATATGGAGTTATACAAAGCACAAAGGCTTTAATCAATTATTGCATATTGGATTGGAATATGAGCTTATACAAAGCACAAAGGCTTTACTCAAATTTCATGCTCTCTGTCACGCTGTTCTAGTTTGAACTCGATAGCTCGATCGGTCGAGCACACTTATTTGATCGCTGATTATTAATCTAAATTTCGAACAACCATAATTCCTTCATTTCAAACCCAAATTGGGTCGTTAATTCTTATATCTAATCTGACCGGCTTGAAGTCAGCTTTCCAATGATGTCAATCTCATCTTCAAATTCCAATTATACCGAGAGTTATTGCTATTTTAGTAAAAAGGTGTCAGAGAATCCTTCAAACCAAGAATGGATAAACATGGGAAACCATACCTATGGCCATTAGGAACTTATGTAATGGACTTAATTGGTTAATGTGATGTTAGAAAGTCTCATTTGACTACTTATAGTCGATTCTTCCTTATATTTTTCTTGAAATGATCATTTTATCCTTGGGTATCCCCGGATCGAGTTACCAAGTGTACACCAGCTCCGTAATAATGGGATTATTTTGATGAAAGAAAGGTACTATTAAATAATTATTGAAAGGTCTTGATTTAAAATGGAAATAAAGAAAACGTAAATGATATGTAGGCCCACCAAGGACCCAAGTTTTCACAATGCTAGCTCCACAAATTAAAAAGAGGATTGTAGTCCACATAATGAAGTCAAGGTCGTCCCTGCTCCGACTAGTAATACAGGGTTCACACCTCTTTTTTTTCATTTTTATTTCTGATTTCATTTTTCGTATCCATCAAACAAAGCCTTCTCCATAAGACTGTTAACTGATTTTATCAAAGGAGCAAATGGTGTTTCAACAATTTACTTCTAGCTTGAAGAAGAATTGCGTCTTCATCATTATTGTTCTCTTTGTTCCATATTGATGAGGTTAGTCACATAATTTTTTTTTTTTCTATTTTTTTTTCTTATAAATTTCGTCTCTTACAATATTTAGCACTTTAAAATCATTAGTGGTATTTAGCATGTAGATGATCCTCTTAAACCTTCACCATCTACTTTAGTAGCACTAGAGAATCCAGTCTAGATCAGTTGGACCATGATCTAATTTAGTAAAACAATGGACTATTGGAAATGTTAAACTCTCTTATCATCTTGATCTCTTTGCTGAATAACTTCACGTGAAGAATTATTTATTTATTTTTTTCATAATCTACTCAACTTTTTCTCCAATACTTTGTTCAATACGATGCGGAGCTTAGCAACTGAAGGAGTTAATTCCAACCGAGTTACGAATTCTTTAACCAAATAACCTAAATTGAAGCGAATCCAAACTAATTTTTATAAACATGTCATGTATGTCAGGTTAGTCTCTACAATCTCCTGGATGGATTGTAGTCACATAACCAAGTCAAGGTCGTCCCTGCTTGTCCCACTAGTAATAACAGTTGCTTCAATTATTGCATATTGTATTAGAATATGGAGTTCACACCTTCTTCTTTTTTTTCATTTTTATTTCTGATTTCATTTTTCATATCCATCAAACAAAGCCTTCTCCATGATACTGTTAACTGATTTTATCAAAGGAGCAAATGGTGTTTCAACAATTTACTGCTAGCTTGATGATTCAAAAGTCATCTTATTTTTTTAATCTTCTCCTTGTCTCTTATTATAATCTTTCTCGTTTACTTTGAATCAGGCTTTCACATTTACATCTGAATCTATAATCCCTCAATCTCTCTCTCACACACAACATCTGCAATTAGTCTCTTCATGTTTGGTATTCCATGAGTTAGAGAGAAGGTACGTACTTCCTGAACTCACAGCTAGCTCTCTGCATTTCTATTGCTTTGAATTATTAGTTTACTACTTATTTCAATTTGGTTCTCTCTCTCTCTCTTACATCTGAATTTGCATCTCCCACTATTTGCAGTCTCTTATTCTCACTCACTCAAATTTCTTTTACATCTCAATTTGTATCAATGTGATAGCTTGAAAGTCAGCCTTAATTTTTCTTCTTCTTTTCAATGGTAGTGGTTCAATGTGATAACTTGAAAGTCGTCCTAATTTTTCTTTTTTCTTAATCTTCTCTTCGTCACTTGTAATTCCACATAATTTCGTTTTTTAATTTGTGTAAAATGAAATATTTCATTTTAGTAAATTATAAGTTTAAAATAATATTGTTAGATTATTTTAATTATTTATGAAGCCTAATCTGACTATAAGAAAAATATTTTGGTACAAACATATCATTATAATTATATTAAGTTAAAATATTATCATCATTTATTTTACATGTAGCACCTTATTTGTATACTGAAAAATAAGGTGTTACACAAATCAAAAACTTAATTTTATATATCTATGTGTGTGAATTAACAACAAATTTTATATAAAATGAAATGTATATAATCCAAGTCTTTTTGTTTATAAGCTGATATAATTATATATTATATTGACAAGGGGCTAGTAAATGGTAAACATGAGCGTTCATTAGCTTATATCTACCATTATAGGATATGTATAATTATTTATTCCATAAGCAAGAAGAGGTACTTCTTGAATTCTCTCTTTAGTTTCTTCAACAATCAACTTCTCTGCCTTTTTGCTTTGTATTATAAATTTGTGGTTTACTTCTTGTTTCAATTTGGATTCCTCTCTTACATCTGAATTTGCATCTCCCTCTATTTGCAATCTCTTTTTGTCACAAATTTGAATTAAGCTCTCTTACATCTCAATTTGTCTCTCTAGAATCTCCATTTCATTTTCTTTATCTTTCTTTCTATCTTCTTTGTCATTCAAAGTGAGACTCGTTGTACTTGTGGATTTAAAACACTTTACTACCTCCAACCAAATAAAATCCATTACTTGAAATTTCTGCTTCAGTAGTAGCTTTCTACATTTGTATTCTTGCTTTTTTGCTTTATAATATTTCTGCTTCCGTAGTAGCTATATTTTTTTCCGTCATTTCTTGGGCATGATCCATCCTCTTCCTCTTCAAAATCAACGCAATAGCTGTCTCGTATTCTTAAGCAGGTCAAAGGAACAAAACAATGGCGGAAACTGCAGTGAGCTCTGTTATTGACAATTTGCTCCCACTGTTAACCAACGAAGCAAAATTGCTTAAGGGTGTCCATAAAGAAGTTGCCAGCATCAAAGATGAATTGGAATACATACTGTGTTTCTTGAAGGATGCAGATGTCAGGGTTGAAACTGCAAAGATCAACGACAGCTTGCAACTTTGGGTGAAAGACGTAAGGAAAGTTTCTTATAAGATCGAAGATGTTATCGATGAATACATACTTCACTTGGCAAAGCCATTTCATCAGTATGGTTTCATCACTTTCTTTCTTAAAGTCGCTCACCCAGTTATTAAACTGAAGCGAAGACATGAGATAGCTTCTGAGATTCAAGAGATCAAAACAACCATACAGGAGATCAAGCAAAGAGCTGACAGATATGGATTCAGTTCCTTGGAGCAAGGATCAAGCAGTGTCACAAAAGATAGCACATGGCATGACCCTCGAGTGGCTTCCCTTTTCATTGCTGAAGATGAAGTTGTCGGCATTGAATCTCTAAGACACAAATTGATCAGTAAGCTATTGGCAGAACAACCGATGCGTGGAATAATTTCTCTCATTGGGATGGGTGGATCCGGAAAGACCACTCTCGCCAAGAAAGTCTACGACAGCCCAAGAGTGACTGCACACTTCGATTGCCATGCTTGGATCCCTGTGTCCCAATCATACAAGATGGAGGAAATCCTCAAAACAATGATCAAGAAGTTCTATGGATCAAGAAAGGAGCCTGTTCCTGAAGGAATTGATACAATGGAAGAAGATTTGCTCATTGAAAATTTGAAGGAATATTTAGAACTGAAGAGGTATGTGGTTGTTTTTGATGATGTATGGAAAATAGACTTTTGGAGTTTCATAAAACATGCTTTATCGAAGAACAGCAAATGCAGTCGAGTAATCGTCACCACTCGAAATGATGATGTTGCTTCTTCTTGCAAAGAATCTCCATTTGATTACATCCACCATCTTGAGCCTCTCTCTGAAGACAAGGCTTGGGAACTCTTTTGCAAGAAGACATTCCAATTAGACTTTGGGGCTCAATGTCCACTAGAATTGATGGAATTCTCTAATAAAATTGTTCGCAAGTGTGAAGGATTGCCACTTGCAATTGTGGCAATAAGTGGTTTGTTATCAACAAAAGACAAGACTGTATCAGAATGGGAAAAGGCGTACAATAGCCTCGGTTTTGAGTTACAAAGGAGTCCCCATCTTACAAGTATTACAAAAGTCATATTGCTCAGTTATCACGATCTTCCTTACTACCTGAAATCTTGTTTTTTGTACTTAAGCATAATACCAGAAGACTTCTCTATTCATTGTGGAAGATTGATTCGGTTGTGGATAGCTGAGGGGTTTGTAAAACCAGAAAAAGGAAAAAAAACTTTGGAAGAGGTTGCAAAAGAATACCTGGCCGAACTAATTCGTAGAAGTTTGGTTCAAGTGAGTGAACTAAACTATGATAAATCAAAAATTCGTACTTGCCGAGTTCATGACTTGATTCGTGAGCTCATCGTTTCAAAATCCGAGGAGTTGAGTTTTTGTCAAGTTGTGGAAGATGACTCAAGTTTTGATGGGCAACCCCGGCGACTTTCATTCCATAACCATGTTTATAATGTTTTAGAAACCATCGGTAAGCTCCGAATTCGTTCTTGTTTTATTTTTAAAGCAGAGGACGAGTTGCCAAAGCCATTTTTAGGTACGTTGTTTGCAAAATTCAAGCTATTGAAGGTGTTAGATCTTGAAGGTGCTCCTCTCGATAATCTTCCTGAAGAGGTTGGAAAGTTATTACACTTGAGGTACTTAAGTGTGAGGAGTACAAAAGTGAAGATCCTTCCAAAGTTTATCGGCAAGCTATACAACTTGCAGACTTTAGATGTGAAATACTCTCTAGTGGATGAGCTACCTTGTGAAATTAGTAAGTTACATAAGTTGCGACACCTTTTGGCCTACGATGTTAATGACAATGTTGATAGTTTTACTGATGTTAGAAGAGGAGTGAAAGTGCATGAAGGAATTGGGCATTTAAAGGAACTGCAGAAACTACGTGATGTGGAGGCAAGTCATGAAGGGTTTGACCAAATAATTAAAGAGCTGGAAAATTTGAGGGAGTTGAGAAAGTTGGGTATCACAAAGTTGAGGAGAGAAAATGGGAGGGCTCTCATCAACTCCATTCAGAAAATGAAACACCTTAACTATCTTCAACTCGTGGCAATAAACGAAGATGAGATCCTGGATTTACAATGCATGACATCTCCACCTCAGTGTTTGCAATGTCTCTACTTACGTGGGCGTTTAGGGAAGTTGCCGGATTGGATCCCTAAACTTCAAAATCTAGTCAGATTAGGTCTATATTATTCTGGCTTAAGTGATAATCTGATAGAAGCCTTGCAAGCGTTGCCTAATATGTTATGGCTACATATCCGTAAGGGATATGATGCCGAGAGATTATATTTTGGGGCACATGGGTTTCAGAAACTTAAGAAGTTGTCTCTCTATGAGTTGCAGGAGTTGAATTCATTGATAATAGAGGAAGGAGCGTTGCCACTTCTTGAAGAGCTATACATTGGGCCTAGCCCACAATTGAAGGAGGTGCCGTCCGGCATTCAACACCTCAAAAAACTCAGACTACTTGGGTTCACTGATATGCCAACAAAATTCATAGAAAGAATGAGAGGAGATGAAGGCCAAGACTATCACATCGTTAAGCATATACCATCTATCCATTGCTGGATCAAGAATAAGGGATTGAATTATACATCCTACAAACTGTTATTGTAATAGAAAGAGTCAACCAATCACATTTAATCTATTGGATAAAACTTATTTAATTCCAGACATTGCTTATTTTTATTGTTATTGTAATATTGTTGTAATTTTTACTGTTGCTAGTTTCCAGACATTGCTTGTTTTTATTGTTATTGTAATGTGTTGTAATTTTTGTAGTTTCCAACAATGTGATTGGTTGAGGAAAGAGTCAACCAATCACATTGCTTGTCATTATTATTATTGTTGTTCATGACATTACTTCTTAGTATTGTTCTTGTAAAGACAAATCATTTGTTTAAGTGCTTCAGACCCTCTACTTGGATTCCATATTCCTTTTTCTCATCTTAGTTTTTGGGAGCCAATGTATAGTTTCTAAAAGTGAACATAAGGTGAGTACCAGTAAAAAGTAACATAGTATACAAAATCTTCATATTCAATAGGAATCTTCAATTTCATATTATTTTTTATGTCAACTTAATAATCCGGATAGAAAAAGTTTACAAAATGTAGGCTGAACATACCCTGAATCATTAACATCTCCAAAGGGAATTTCTCAATCAAATAACATTATGTTCAACAAATAAACTTCAAGACATAAACTTATCTCTATAGTTCCTAACCTTGTAATATGAGTGTTGACACCCATTTTGGTATTTGGATTGCTAACCCATCTTCGGCCCAGTCATGAAAACTAAATACTCTTGGCATCTGTTTTGGTAATTGGGTTCTGGCCCTAATTAGATTTGATGAGCCATGAAGCATTGGGCCGAAAGAATATAATGGGCTGAAACATGTGACAATGAGGTTGGGCTAGGAGGTCGCAAATGATTTGGTTTCCGGCTGGGATAATGCAATGCAGTTAAGATGTTGGGCCATACACATCACATGGATATGGATTACAAGAGAGAGGGCAATGACGTGATACACACAAGGGCATCACCGATGACATGGATTATATTTGAAATACTTTTGAATTTTATGTTAGTTAAGAATTAATATTTATCTAGGAACTTTAGTTTGAATTTAAATTCAGTATTAAGTGATAGAGTTAGAGTTTTATTGTAATTAGAATACTTATTGGTAGGAATTTGATTCTAATAATTTCTATAAATAAATAAAGAGACATGCTGAACAAAAGGTCCAGCACCCTCAGAATCCTTATTATTATTTTGTTTGCTTTCTTAAGCACTTTCCTCAAATAGCATCCTTGCTATCTTTATCTATCTCTCTACTTCAGTTTTTTTCTATTTCTCTCCCCATATCTCTTTCTCCCTATCTCTTCTCCCTATCACTTTCTATATCTATTTCTTCCCCTTTCTATTCTCTTGTTACGTTACTATACATTGTTTACGGAAAGTCCTTTTAACTAAGGCATTTTTGAAGCCAAAAGAGGAATTTATTTGTTCCCTTTTTCCTCGCATCGTCTGAGAGTCAACTTTCTCAAAGGGACTAACGTTGACTATTTACAATCGAACCACACAAGTGGTTCTGGCACGCGCGGCATACATCAATTTGAGATCGGCTCCATAAAGCCGATTTTAGGGTCAACATTTTTGGCACGCCCGGTGGGACCCCATCAGGAGAGCAATATAGTAAAGATGCCTCCAAAGCTAAGAGGTTCAAAAGGCATGAATAAAGGAGATAATATTGACGAAGAAAATCCACAGATCGGCGTAGGCGATGATGCCGACTCTTCTATTCCATCCGACATTCCTTTGGGTCGGGTACTGGAATCGATTATGCAAAAATTCGATGCCCAGCAAGCACAGATCGGTGAGGTGAGATCTCAAATGGGAGAATCAAATTAGCTTTTGGTTTCTCAAATTCATGAGATGAGGTCGATGACAGAGGAATTAAACCAAATGGTGTACACTCAGTTAGAGAAGATGAGTCAAAAACTTGAAACAAATATATCAGCAAATCAAAGCCGAGAAAATCGGCATGATCACGCTGAAGCATCTCATGTCAATGAGTCCATATTCCAGCGTATGACAGCACCATTGATACATATATCCGAAGGGCCTCGAACAGGCATCATACCGCCAAGTGCAGGACTTGGTATTACAATCGGCAAAGTGCCGAATCATACCAATATATCAGCAAATCAAAGCTGAGACAATCGGCATGATCAAGCTGAAGTATCTCATATCAATGAGTCCATATTCCAGCGTATGTCAGCACCATTGATACATATATCCCAAGGGCCTCGAACAGCATCAACAGGCATAATACCGCCAAGCACAACACTTGGCATCACAATCGGCAATGTGCCGAGTCCTAGTCTCGGCATGCCGATTGGTAACCCACCAATATTGTCAAATCCGCCGGCAGTGACTGTTGTGCCGGTGTATCACCCACCAGTGAATATTCAACCTAATCAAGATGTATAGTGTCCACAGGTGCAGCCGATTTCTTAGTTGAGAGATCAACAAGAGGTGGTGGGAAACCAAAACCAATGTAGGGCTGATCCATTAGCACCACCGGCGGCTGCTGGGGGGCAAGTCAATGTGAATCAACAATAAGAATGGGTTAATCCATTTGTTCCACTTCACCCAAATGATCCTCCAGGACAAAATGCAAAGATTGATAGGGCTCTGATTCTGGCTTTAATACAAGCCGAAGTAGCACAGGGTCACAGACGTGCTCGGCCAGTATATAAAAAGCCTTATCCCTATCATGTCAATGCTTATGAGTTGCCTAAAAATTATTGGTATCTCAAATTTTCTATGTATAGTAAAAGGGTAAAGTTTAAATCATTTGTGAAGGGTGATATGGTTTGGCAAACAATTTTTCCACCTTGAAAGGTAGATAGAACGTGGTCACCTACATGGAAAGGGCTGTATATAGTCCACCAAGTGTTGCATGGAGAAGCTTACAAGTTGAAAGATTTGAATGGTGAGGTGTATGAAAAACCAATAAATGGAAGGTATTTGAAGAAGTATCAACCCACTATTTTTGAACTTTTGGAGGAAAAGAAAGCCTCTAATAAGTTAAATATAGAGGGTGGGTGTTCAGCTTAAGCCATTTATGAACCTAGAATAATGATGACAGTGGGTGGTTCTATGGTGTGTATATCAACTTGATACAATGGGTGTAATTTAAATTTTGGAAGCCGAAGGGTTAAAACAGCTACCAAAATTGGGGGGCATTGTTGACACCCATTTTGGTAATTGGGTTTGGGCTTCAATTGGACTTGATGATCAATGATATAGTAATATGGGCCAAGAACATAAAGCCTGGTCAGTGATGATGTGCTAGGACTTTGGGCCGAGAAGGATATCTGGGTCATGGAAGGTGATTGGATTGAATGTGGTTTGGAATAGCATTTTAGTTGGAATAAAATCCATTAGTGCTATACATGAACAGTGACGTGGTAGTTCTTATACAAAATAACGCTATATGCAAGGATGCTACATGGATAGAATGTTCTTGAACATTATGTTAGATAAGATTTATGTGTTTACTTGATTTTTGAATTAGTGTTTATCTAGGAATGTTTAGTTTGAATTTATTTTTAGTTGGTTTATCGATAGGATTTGATTTTATTTGGAATTAGTATTTAGTTAGGATTAGTTTAATTTGAATAATTATGTGGTTATATTAGAATATAACTAGGATGTTTGTATTTAGGAATTTGTTTTACCATTTATTCTATAAATAAACAGAGAGGCACGCTGTATAAATGGTCCAGCACGCTCAGAATCCTTATTATTATTTTGTTTGCTTTCTCAAGCACTTTCCTCAAATAGCATCCTTGCTATCTTTATCTCTCTCTCTACTTCAGTCTTTTTCTATTTCTCTCCCCATATCTCTTTCTCCCTATTTCTTCTCCCTATCACTTTCTATATATATTTCTTCCCCTTTCTATTCTCTTGTTACGTTACTATACATTGTTTACGGAAAGTCCTTTTAACTAAGGCATTTTTGAAGCCAAAAGAGGAATTTATTTGTTCCCTTTTTCCTCGCATCGTCTGAGAGTCAACTTTCTCAAAGGGACTAACGTTGACTATTTACAATCGAACCACACAAGTGGTTCTGGCATGCCCGTTTCACATCAATTTAAGATCGGATCTTAGGAGCTGATTTTAGCATCAACATTTTTGGCACGCCCAGTGGGACCCCATCAGATGAGCAAGTTATAGTAAAAATGCCTCCAAAGCTAAGAGGTTCGAAAGGCGTGAATACAGGAGATAATACTGACGAAGAAAATCCACAGATCGGCGTAGGCGATGATGCCGACTCTTCTATTCCATCCGATGTTCCTTTGGGTCGGGTACTGGAATCGATTATGCAAAAATTCGATGCCCAGCAAGCTCAGATCGGTGAGGTGAGATCTCAAATGGGAGAATCAAATCAGCTTTTGGTTTCTCAAATTCATGAGATGAGATCGATGACAAGGGAGTTGAACCAAATGATGTACGCACAGTTGGAGAAATTAAATCAAAAACTTGAAACCAATATATCGGCTAATCAAAGCCGATATGATCAAGCCGAAGCATCTCATGTCAATGAGTTTATATTTCAGCGTATGACGGCTCCATTGGTGCATATATCCCAGGGACCACGAACAAGTACCGTACCGCCAAGTGCAGGACTTGGTGTTACAGTCAGCAACGTGCCGAATCATACAATTGGCATACCAATAGGAAATCCACCAATCTTATCAAATCCGTTGGTGGTGAATCCTGTGCCGGTGTTCCAGCCATTAATAAATGATCAGCCTGTGCAGCGTTCCAATGAGCAGCCGATTCCACCAGTAAGAAATCAGCAAGAAGGTGTCGGCCATCTAAACCAAGGTAGGGTCAATCCTTTGATACCTCCAGTGGCTGCTGGGGGGCAAGTGAATGTCGATCCACAAAGGGAGTGGGTTAATCCATTCATTCCGCGGCACCCAAATGATCCTCCAGGAAGAAATGCAGGGATGGATCGGGCTCAGATTTTAGCTTTTATACAGGCCAAAGTTGCACAAGGTCGCAGACGTGCTCGACCGGTATACAAAAAGCCCTATCCTGAGCACGTAAATGCCCATGAGTTGCCTAGAAATTATCGGTATCCTGATTTTTCTATGTACAGTGGTGAAGAAAATTTATCTAGAATACAGCATATTGCAAGGTTCACTGCACAATATGGAGAAGCTGGTCCTAACCCTTGGTTAAGGATGAGGTTATTCTCTAGCTCTCTTGTCGGGGCAGCTTTTGAATGGTACAACAACTTACTGGCTAATTCTATTCAGACTTGGGATGAGATGGAGGAAGCGTTCCATACCCAATTCTACTGAACAGAGACAGAAGCTACACTG